ATGGCAGCAGGCATGTAGGCGTGCATGGTGCTGAAGCAGTAGCTGAGACTCACATCCTGCTCCACAAACAGAAAGCAGAGAAAGCCAACTCAAAATGGCACAAATCTTGAAATCTTACAGCCTGACCCCCAGTGACATACTTCTTCCACGGAGGCCACACTTCTGAATCTTCCCCAAACAGCCATCAACTGGGGACTAAGAGTTAACACAAGCTAGAGGTAACTTAAGGGAGGGAACTCCAATTGGGAAAATGCCACCACAAGTTCCAGCTGTAGGGCATTTTTTAAATTAGTGATTGATGAGGGAGGACCCATCCCATTGTGGGTGGTTCTATAAGAAAGCAGGCTGCATAAGCCATGAAGAGCAAGCCAGTAAGCAGCACTCCTCCATGGTCTGTACAACAGTTCCTGCTTCCTGCCCCAACTTGGGTTTTTTTTTTTTTTTTTTTTTTTTTCTGTCATGAAGTTTTGTTGCAGCAATAGAAACCCTAACTAAAACAAGTTGATTCCAGTGGGGGTATTGCTGTGATAGACTTGACCATGTTTTAGGGGAATTTGGAAGGACTTTGGAACTTTGGGTTAGAAAAGTTATTGAGTGTTGAGAGCTCAGTGGGATTTTTTTGTTTGTTTTGTTTTGTTTTGTTTTTGGTAGGAGCTTAGAAGATAAGAATGTTGGGAACAGTGCAGAAGATGGAGGCCAGGCTTGCGAAGCTTAAAGACTCTATCAGGGCTGTTTGCTACTTTGAATTAAGATTCTGTCATTCTGGTTAGCTGGAGCTGAAGAGTCAGTGATTAACAAGAGACTGGCATTGTTCAAGTGAAGCTTTTGCATTACTGAGACAATTGATGCTGGAGCTAAGAAATTAGTGGTGATTAAGAAAAGACCAGTGCTGGGTGGTGATGGCACACGCCTTTAATCCCAGCACTTGGGAGGCAGGGGTAGGCGGATCTCTGTGAGTTCGAGGCCAGCCTGGGCTCCAAAGCGAGTTCCAGGAAAGGCACAAAGCTACACAGAAAGAAAGAAAAAAGAAAAGACCAGCATCATTGAGGTGAAATGTTCTGGGAAATATTTCATGAGATTCAGGACACAGAAGCTGTATTCCAGAAGTGACAGCCAAACTTGGTCATGTAAGAATCACCTAGGTGGTATGGGTTTTGAAGGCATGAAGGGGTCATGGAGAGCAGCTGAGGCTTGGCACTGTGAGAGGCCCAGAAAGGCAATTGGTGAAGGTACAGCCTCAGTAGCAGTTGAAGACCCAGGACTGAAGGGGTCATGCGAAGAAATTGAGGCGTAGCACCATGAGGAAAGCCTCAGAGGCTATTGGTGAAAGCACAGCCCAGTTGCAGCAGAAAATCCCAGATGCCTGTGCCATGTGATGACCATTAAGAACAACAGCAGCAATGGAGTGGAACCAGCTGGAGAGTAGAAGACAGTCTGTGTATGCTGTAGAGGGCAGAGCTGGAGAAGTGACTCAAGCTTCTTTGGAGGAGCCCAGAATCATATTTGAATCCTAGATAACTGGACATTGGGTTGTTTATACTGTTGGAGTTTGGTTTTTCTTGGTTCAGATTGTGACTGTGTCCTAGTTCTTCCCTCTGGAAGAAGGTACTTAATTTTGACTTTTGCAGGATACCACATTTGAAAGACTTTGAACTTTTAGAAGATATACTGGATTTTTAGAGAGATTGGATATTTTAAAGAGACTGAAATTTTAATGTATTTGAAGTTTTAAAGACTGTGGGACTTTTAAAGTTGTTTATATTTTAATTTGAGATCTTGAAGATAAATAAGAAAGGAAAGGTGTGCCTTAATAGTGATGTGTTTGTGTATCAAGCTGACAAGGGGTCAGTTGTGCTGGCTAATCTTATGTCAAATTTACATATAAACAAGAGTTATCTAAAAGGAGGGAATCTTAACTGAGAAAATACCTCCATAAGGCATTTTCTTAATTAGTTATTAATGGGGGAGGGCCTAGCCAATTGTGGGTGGGTCATCTCTGGGCCGATGGTCCTAGGTTCTGTAAGAAAGCAGGCTGAGCAAGCCATGGGAAGCAAGCCAGCAAATTGCACTCCTCTATGGCCTCTGCATCAGCTCTTGCCTCCAAGTTCTTGCCCTGTTTGAGTTCCTGTCCTGAAGTCCTTCAGTAATGAACAGTGATATAGAAGTGTAAGCCAAATAAACCCCTTCTCCTCAACTTGCTTTTTGATCATGAAGCAATAGACACCCTAATGAAAATAGGCAGTGATATGAAAGTGTGTTAGTTAGGGTTTCTATTGCTGTGAAGAGACACCATGACAGTGGCAACTCTCATAAAGGAAAACATTTAATTGGGGTGGCTTACAGTTTCAGCATTTTAATACATTATCATCATGGCAGGACATGGTGGAGTGCAGGCAGACATGGTGCTGGAGCTGAAAGTCCTACCACTTGATCAGCGGGCAACAGGAAGTGAACTGAGATACTGAGCATGGCTTAAGCATATATGAGACCTCAAAGCCCACCCCCACAGTGACACACTTCCTCCAAAAAGGCCACACCTACTCCCACAAAGCCATAACCTCCCAATAGCTATTGGGAGCAATTACATTCAAACTACCACCTTCTACCCCCTGGCCCCCATAAGCTTTTAGAATATCATAATACAAAATTTATTTAGTCCAACTTCTGCAGGGGGGGGGGCTACCCAACACCTCCACATTTCCCCAGAGTGCTCTTGAGTGAGAGCAGCAAGAAATATTAGATAGAAGGATTTAGAGTGTGGAGATAAACAGATAGAAAATTCAGGATAGCCTTGAGAGGGCCTGGAACCTATTCCAATGGGCCCTGACTGTCTCTGCCCTAGGGTATTTGAAGAAATGCCAAGGAGTGGAGCAAAAGATCTCTCCTTAGCACAGCCAAATGCAGACCATCTCAGATATCTGCACTCAAGCTCGTGGTCCAGTCATCCTCTTTATGCAGACCTACTGGATAAAACCACTAGGAAACCTGAAAGTGGGCTCCTACAGACTTCAAAGTCCCCATCATCTATCACAGTCGCAAAGTTCAAAGTTTTTTTCTGAGATTCATGCAATCTCTTAACTGTAATTCTTATTAAATAAATAAATAAATAAACAAAAACAGATCACATACTTCCACCATGTAATGAATGGCACAGGATTATACATTACCATTCTAAAATGTAGGGAAGGGAGCACAGTAAAGAAATACGGAACCAAAACAAGACCTGAAACCAGCAGGAAAAACTCCAAACTCTGCATCTTCATGTCTGATGTCAAAGTGCTCTTCACATCTCCAGCTCCTTTCAGCTTTGTTGACTTCAACATACTTCTTTCTCTTAGGCTGATTCCACTTCCTATTAGTAGCTTTCCTTGGCAGGTATTCCATGACTCTGGCATCTCTAACATCTTCATATCTCCAAGGCAATCCAGGCTTTTCCTTCACAGCTTCATATAGTGGTCTTTCTGGGCCTCCATTCAGGAATATCCCTGACATATGCCTGGCCTCAGCAGCTTTCCTTAGATGCTAAGG